TATTTGTGTGATGCATTTCGACATTGAAAACATAAAACGTGTTATTGTCTTTGCTTAACTACTGCGTGTCGTCGTAAGCCAAAAGAGAAAGCATTACATTGCTCTGTGCCAAACACGGGAATCGAAAATACGTAACGTCATCTTAAATGCCAACTATGTTCATTTCGCAGTACATGAGGTATATACATACGTACATACATACGTTGCCAAAGGGAAGTATATCTAATGTCAAAACAAATGTTTTTCTAAGTGTTTTATTGAATTATTTGCATGGATAGTAATGAAATGGACAAAAATATTGACAGTGAGCACAATTAAGTACTTATTAATAAAGATGTGTCGCTGTAGCATTAAGGGATGTGGCATTAGTAAAATCGAAAATCAATCGAATGAATAAAACACACAAACAGAAAAAAAAACAGTTTCCACATTCAAGCCATACATTTGCATGTCGATAATGGCTTATCGATAAACTATGATATAACACTAAACAAATCCGCCATTTGTAGCGTTCAATTGTTGTTTATATATGCATGTTCATTCTGTAGTTAGGGCAGCTCCTTTCCTTTATTTCTTTTTTCCATCCTCTAAGGTCTGCTCAGAAGACCGAGAGTTAATGTCAACCCGCGTCTCGCGGCAGATGTGCGTTAATGTTAACTTAGCCTTTTACTTCCGTATTTAGCATTCGATTTATTAAGCTCACAAGCTTCTGTAATTATTTCTTAATATTAGTTTTTTCGTTTAGTTTTACTCCAACTTTTTTTAAAGCGAAATGGTATCGTGGCTGCGTAGATTTTGAAGCATGTGAGGTAGACAAGGAGAAATTCATTTCACGGTATTTAAATACTCGTATTTGTCTTTTAGAAATAAAATTAAATAAATTAAATTCATAGTCCCTGACGTATTTACGGAACACTGTACAGAAAAATTTCATTGAAATATCTATAATAACAATCGAATAAAACTTTTCCGTAACTGAACGTAGTAAAAAATTAAAATATTGCAGAACTTTGTGATTTTTTTATCGAACCAAGTTTAGTCAATCGTTTTTCACGTCGTAGTGCACTACCAGTATTTCCTGTTTTCATTATCAATTTAAAAAAATTGAATGTGTAATTATTAACGTCGAAAAACCGTTTTTCCGTGTGGTCGAAACCGTCTATTTTGGGATTCATTTCATCCTACCATAGGTTCGGCGTCAATTAGGAAAACTCCGCATTCAGTTTCATTAATCGCTCACAAGTGTTTACGTCTCTCTGTGACCAACATTCTTTTTATTTTTCTTTTTATTTCATTTATATTTTCGTAAATTGCGAAATAAGTAGAGTACGTGTGTTAAAATTATGGTGTGAAAAATCATGTTTTTGATTTTTTTCACAATACAAAGCGGCATTAAATGCCTGAAGTTCGGAAAATAGGTACACCTTACTTTCGAAATTATTCATGTCAGAAATGTAAACGTAATCATGTATTATAAGCACAAACGGCAACAACCATTATAGGTTTATACACAGGTGTTTTTTTGAATAGTTATATTATGATTATGTACATACATAGTTTGTTTATTTGTAATTAGAAATGCCGTCCATACGAAACATTCCAATATTATATTTATGATTTTATATGGTGTTTTTACATAATATACGAATTTTCGGTACTTATTTAGTAAGTACAGTTTTATTAGTGTACGAATTTCTATAATAATTTCCAACCAAACATTTATATGTTTTTACACATATGTTTTGCAAAACGGCTCTGATAAGTTTTCGTACACTAATAAATCTAAATTTTTACTAGAGTTTAGTTTTTTGCTAGACGGGAGATTGAGAAACGTGTACTATTTTAGTAATTAATTTGTTATTGTGAAAATGATTACCGACTATCTAGTTAAAACGTTATGTCGATATCGGTCGTTGCGGCAATATTGTACTTACTTTGTTAGTTTTAAGCACACTTTTATGCTCTACAACTTTTTGCTTAGATTAATGCTTAAGCATATGTAAAGAGTTTTTTATATTAATCTGTCAACAGTCGTTTAATTTATTTTCACGAATTTCAAAACTTAGTATCCAAGTGGAACAACATTCAACGGTTATAGTATTTAATAATTTTAAGTCTACGTTAGTTGTATATTATGATAAAAACGTATTTGTATATAATGTTAAAAACCCTCAGGAAATCCGTCCGTTAGTTAAATATGAAGCATACTTATAAGTATTGAAATTAATTAATTGAATTTTGTTATTGAAGTTTATTTGGTAAGCAATTATATTAGGTATCTTACTTATACAGTTTTATATAGTTCGTCAACATTAGCGAAAACTGAAATAAAAATTTAGCCAACATTAGAAGTTTTAATTGAAACCGAATGTTTAATTTTTGCAATTTCAATTGCAATTTTTTAAACGCAGCCAAATCTAAAGAATATCGTTAGTTATTTATTCATTTATTCATCGAAGAACCATTCTCGACCACGCCTTTTTCTAATTCGTTTGTATTTCTTAGACTCGTACTGTTTTATCAACTTCTCTAGTTTTTTCTTGAGCATCTTTTGGTTGTGTCGTTCCATCATATCTGTGTATACGTCCGTGAACGGCAAGATGTTAATGCCACCATCTGGCGACACGAGTCCGGGAACTTTAGGCAACATCGGTGCAGGTGGCCCTTGTGAAAACATTGGAGGCTGAGGCATGTAGGGGTAGGGAAAACCACCAATAGGTACCATTGGATTAGTTGGTATTATTGGTATGCCATATGGTAAAGGAAGGGTCGGAAAAACGGGTACAGGAGGAGGCAACGGCATAAACGGTGCAGACATTGGCATTCCAGGGAATAGAGACATTGGAGCTGGTATAGGTCCAGGGATTGGTGCGGGAATTGGAGGGTAAGGTGCGGGAACAGGCACTGGCACAGGTTGTGGTGGCATAGGCACTGGGATCGGTACGGGGAGGGGCGGCGGCAGTGGCAGTGGTAGCGGCGCTGGTTCAGGTTCACGTGGTTTGTAACAATATTCCGGAATATCTCTAGGGTACCAATAGAGTGGATTACAGGGGTCGTCCTTGTCTCTCCGAGGTTTCTGGTTCAACGGGTCCATATATGTTAGCCCTGATATGGTACATGATGTATATGTTACGAAAACACCTGCTATGATAACCTGTAAATAAAATCGTAGGTACATTGTTGACTATATTTTTAATGCTAATAAAAAAATATATATAAAGTTAATATAATTCTTTCTAATACCTGTATGGGTTAAATATATTTATTTAATAGAAAGCTGCAATGGCAAAAATTATGAAGTGTATAAAATTACGCAACGGAAAATAAAGTTCAATGGGTAATGACGTACGTATAAAATCACTTATGGCGTCCATATAAAGTTAAAATCACTTGAATACTTTTTGTATTTAGATGCAACTCAAATCAACGGAGAAGCAATACTCTATCCAAAATTGTTTGACAAATATTGTATTTTATAATAAAGTTAAATAAATTATTCCGAAAGTACTCACATTTACAAAGGCTTTCATTTTTATCAACTTGTCATGACTCTGTTCTCTGGTCAGTCGTAAGTGCTATTTGAACGAAATCCATGAACTCCCCAAATCAGGTGCACATTCAAAATAAAACAATGTTATCTTAAAGTCAATGCACAATAGGTAATTTTTTTTCTATTTTCCTACGTCTACGGTCTTCGAAAACAAGGGGCGATTGAAAAACTAAGTCTAGCTCAAGGACTTTATAAATTATGTAATGGGTTAGATGTTCTTAATTCATCATATATTTTAGAAACAAGTACCTAATGATTCATTAATAAAAACAACGAAATACTATTGTACTATAGATATTGCATGACACAGCACCAATAGGACCGAACTATCTGCTGTGTCCGGCTATACCGACGACACTGTTGTCACGTCTGCATTACTCCATGAAGTCTGAGGAGATAGTGGAGTACATCAGACTTAAAGCCAAATATATCCTGAGGTCTAGTGGTTGGAGTCCCGTCGTAACGTAAATTTTATTTTGATTGTTGTGAGAGTGCCGTTCTATCGACTATTATTATCTATCGACCTTCATGAAGACAGAGTTTTGACCGAAGGTTGGTGTGTACGTGCGATTACGAGGTTGGTTACCATGATGCGCCACACGTTGCCGACAAATGCACTTCGTGTAATTTAGATATTTCGTTTTTATATTTATATGTATATTAGTCTTGCCCCGTACCGTACGTGGGGTCGGGCTCGGCTTGCGGCGCGTGGTGGGGTTCAGATTATGGGGTGTGCTTATGATCTTCGGCGGCACATAGTTACTAAGGTCGCTTGATGAGGAGGTGCCTGGTTCGATTCCCGATTTGGGTCAATTTAAGAAACGAACATTTCTAAATTGGTTTTGTTCTGGGTATTTCCCTCAGAGTTATCGTTATTCTGGTATTCATAGTACAGGATATTCCCTAATTTGAGACCAGAAATTTGGTATGATTGTATGGCATTTTTTTCCCTAAATACTTCTGAATGGCATAGCTTTCAAGAAAAAAGAATCTAACAGAAAGTCGGTCTAGATACAACAACGATATAAGTATGTCATTTCCACTACATCGGCAAGTGTGTCTCACATTATGAACAATTGTGAGATGTTGTGCTCGTAATAAAGCCTTCCCTTAGCTGGACCTCAGCCTTTGTTTTAAAAAATTAACATAGCTCTTTCATGTCGACAATATTGAAAAATGGCAAGAAGTAAATTTTGATCTCAAATTATTATTAAGCACCCTTAGAGAAACCCTACATGACGATTTTCAGTCGAATTAGAGCAAATTTTTATCTGCCACCAAAAACACTTGTATGGCGGGCACATTGATAAATAGCAAAAAAGCTAATGTTGATCACAAATTAATATCAAGCTCTCCTCGAGATCCCCACATGCCAATTTTCAAAGGGATAAGAGCAAATTTTTTTCTGCTGCCAACGAACGCTTGTATGGCAGCCATATTTGAAAATAGCGAAAAATAAATTTTGACTACAAATTTTTATCCGACAACCCTATAGGCCTCTACATGCCAATTTTCAGCCGAATCAGAGCAAGTCTCTTTGTACCTACTCGTAACAGAGCCTCCGTATACTACTTACATACGGTGGCTTGCAGACGCTCCGAGTTTCGCCCTCGGCTGGACCTCGGCCTACGACTTCGGCACTTATGGCTTTGTTTCAAAAAATTAACATAGCTGTTTAATGGCGGGCATATTGAAAAATGGCAAAAAATAAATACTGACCGCAAATTATTATTAAACACCCTTAGAAAACCCCACATGCCGATTTTCAGCCGAATTAGACACAAATTTTATCAACCGCCAAAAAAGTTTGTATGGCAGCCATATTGAAATGTGGCTAAAAGTAAATTTTGACCACAAATTATTATTAAAGATTAATAGAGACCCCGACATGCTGATTTTCAGTCGGATTAAATTTTTATCTGTCGTCAAAAAAGTTCATATGGCAGCCATATTGAGAAATGGCGAAAAATAAGTTTGGATCATAAATTGTTATCAAACACCTATAGAGCCCCCACATGCCGATTTTCAGTCGAATTATAGCAAATTTTGATCTGCCTTCAAAAAACGTTTGTATGGCGCCATACTAAAAAATGGCAAAAATCTAATATTGATTACAAATTATTATTATCAAGCACTTCTAGAGAACCCCACATGCCAATTTTCAAAGGGATCAGAGCAATTTTTTTTTCTGCGAGAAACGCTTATATGGAGCCATATTTGTAAACGGTGAAAAACCAATTTCAACCACAAATTTTTATCCGGCTCTTTTAGAGGCCTCTGCATGCCAATTTTCAGCCAAATCAGTGCAAGTCTGTTTCGGCAACAATTTTACAGCCACAAACAGCTTTTTGGTAGACAGCCATATTAAAAAATGTCCAAAAGAAACTTTTAACTCCAAATTATGATTAAGGACTCCTAAAGACCCCCGCATACCAATTTTCAGCCGGATCAAAGCAAGTTTTCTTCGGCCGCCATTTTGAATTCTATCTTGATTTTTTTAACTCAGACAGTTGACCACTGTTACCCTCTATGTCATTCCTTCGAACATTTACCTATCTCTCATAGTCTCCATGATAGAAGACTTTGAAATTTGTATGGCGGCCATTGTTTGTTTGAATTTCGAATATTTTTTATATCCGGCTAGCTTTATATATATAATGGATCATAGCTGCTTGATTTGAATAAATAAGTAAAAATAATAATAATAAGTTAAAGAAAAACAATTTTTACGCGATAATAATTTTTAATTTTTTCTATAAAACGTTTGGTGTTTAAATACGTATATATGTATTTTCTAAACTAGGATCATTTATATTGTCTCAAAAAAATATTATCCTGTGATGATCCTCCTTTGTTTACATTATGTTTCATTTCTCCATCTTTTCCGAAGTGTCTGGCATTTTTCAATATTGTGTGGCGTATTTTGTTCATCAGTTTGTTATCCTTAAGTTGCTTTGGATAGTATTCAATTGGGCTTGTGTTGGTAACATTATGTGAAAAATCGGGCAGTGGGAAAGGTGGTTGTGGCGCCAGAGGCGGAAAATATTTTTCCATTAGTTTGTATTGTTCCTTTGCAGCCTCTTGATATAAATGCGCCACGTCCTTAATTAAATCGACGCTATTCTTTGAAATAGGTTGATGGTATACGGCAGACACACCAAGAAACGGCAATACTCCAATTTGTGGTGTGATTGGCTGACTTCGTACGTCTGTTTCTATAGCTTGCAACATCGATTGAACAGATGCCTGATAACCAGGAGTGGGGATATGGACAGATTTCTCACCACTGGACTGTGACCCAATATCGAAAACAGATTCCATGCTAAAAGGACTGAAGTAATCATCTATAAACATAGCATCTTGTGGGAAATTTTGACGGGTACGCCTATGTCTGATGTCCTTGGTACGGTCGTCATCAACATACTTGTCAATATCGTGCTCGTGGGAAAGATCGTTGTAATTGTGTTCAAGAATATACCGATATTCGTAACTATCACCAATGTCATCATCGAGGATGCGTGGGTAATAGCGACCACAACACACAAGTCGTCCGTGATCGCTATATTCATTCAGAATTCGTTTGTAATCTTGGAGCAAGCCACGTTCGTGGTGCCGTGCACGTTTTCGGTTTCGGCTCATATGGCCCCATTTGGTGGTGTGCTTTGAGGTTTCATCGTCATTATTCATGTAATGCATCATATTCATAGCATTACGTAAACTATTGTAAATGAGCTCGAGCGACTCTTGACTATACGTAGGTTCAGATTGATGCACGCGTTTCATATGTCTTTTTTGAAAACCTTTTCGTCGAGAGGAGACATGATCTGTTTGGTGATGATTATCATCGTAGTCTTTGTATTCACCGCGATGTCCGTAACTTTCAAGATCAATATAATGACTGCGATCTCCATGGTAACTGCCTCTATCAACGTAATGATTGTTACCTCCACGGTAAACTTTGTCTACGGAGTACATTTTCACTACAGGATCAGCGTGATCTTCATAATCGCGATTACGTCCATGAACATACTGACCGTGATGAATGGGGTTACCGCTATCATCATATACTCGGTTATTGCCTTGGACAACATGGTCAACACGCCGACCATTATGTAATGGGACAAGATCGTTAATGCCAATATTTTTAACAGGCGCATCCAAATTATTTGCAGAATTTGAACGCCAACCATTATATTGATTTAAAGCAGGTGGAACATGGTATGGACTTAAAGACTTCAGGTGTTTGTCATTATTTGGAGAGGTGGGAAAATTGTAGTGATGTGAAGAAATCAAGTTATGGTAGTTATTCTCAGGTTCAAGATTACTGTAGGACATTATGCTATTAATTGAATTTAGCTCGCTGGAGGATAGAATAGGTTTAGGGTCAATCGCATGGTATTTGTAAGAATGCGGGTTGATTTTCTCTCTCATGACTTGTAAAGGTTTACTGCGCGTTACTCTGGAGCGTACAACTTCCTCGTACTGCTTAATACAGTGTTCGGGCATGTGGAGAGGATGCCAATAGTATGGGTCGCATTTATGATCGCCGCGATATCTCTCCTCAAAATCGAAATTGTCCCTGTATGTGAGGCCTGTTATAGATTGTTCTGTAAACTTTATATAACTAACTGCGCAGATTATCGCTAGCCACTGAAGAATGCGAAACTGAAATGCACAAAAATAATAATTATATATATATATATATCTACATGTACATATGAATTTAGCTTTTCGTAATTTAATAATAATAGAATTAATAATTAATTATGATGGTTTATTATTAATTAATTGTTGCATTCTTTTTACATTTGATAGGTGTTTAAATATCTGTTAGTCTACTACTGTTGCTCTGTAAAGTAATTAATTACCACAAACACCACTTTGGCATACCAGTATTTTCGAAGACCCAGTGAAAAAGCTAAGAGTAAATAAGTCAGTTTAACTAAACTATTTTTGTAAATTAGTTAGTTTAACTAGACGGTATATGAAACGAGTAATTTGAAGATAACTCTTCAATAACGGCATATGCGACTAATTTATTTGCTTGGCTAGTTATTTACCGGCATGGTATGGGGAGTCCCGAGAGTTTCACGTAATCAATGCTATAATTAGTATAACGTCTTTGTGTAGTTATAGGAAACTGGAATTTATGTTTCACGGCGACCTTAAACCAGTCAAAGTTAAAACTAATGCCTCTGAAGTGCACTTAAGGGGTTGTTAAGCAATCTAATGGCGATACTGTTGTAGAAATATTTAATGTGATACGAGTAGGTATGCCAGATAATCGATTAACTTAATCCATACAAGAAAGTTTAAAAAATCATCAATTAATAGAATGATATTATATGCTCACTAATTTTTTAACTGTCAGTACTAATTAAAACTGAAACACTTACTTTCATAATGATGTTCCTTTGAAATTTTTTGGAACAGTCAACTTCTTTCATTCGCACTTTATTGGCACCTAATTGAAGGCGTTTGTCATTATAGCGGCATTTACTAGCCTTTGTGAAAGCACACCTGCATGGTTATGTAATTTGTTTTGCACAGCACTTAGCCATTTTTCGTTTCTTTTCTAGATTATATTGGTGTGGAGTTAGTATTCCGTGTGATATCCTGGTGTAATTATAGTATCGGAGATATAAATTTCCCCCTTAGGATACCTTTTGATTTCTTTTAAATTTTGAATGGTGAGTGGTAAGGAGGCGATGATTTAAATAAATGTGTTGTAAATGACTGACTTACTTGACTTACTTGTTTCCACGCAAAGGACGCTGTGGGTACAATTTGTGGCGTATTTATTATTCAGAGGAATAGCTCGATTTCTCAAATGCGCTATTGTTGTTAGGATCCGTATTTTCTAGGCCATCTCCATCTTTTTTATGCCTTACAAACCTTCTTTCCGGTTTTTCTTCTGATTTTTTCTTATCTTTGGATTGCTTTTGTTCAGGCTGTGGGTACTTGAAAAGACGTATAATCACGGGCATCACGAGTACTGGTCCTCTTTTACAATCCAAACCTTTGCATTGCTCTGGAAATATGTAGTTGCAGTGACAAAAATGACCTTTTTTGCTAATAATACCTCTAACTTTTAATTCTAATTGAAAACACGTATATCGCTAAACTTTCTCAAAAGTCTTTCAAGACATGTGAATAGATGAGCTCTAGTAGTAGTCAATGGTATAATCCCCCTGAGGAGACCGGTTTTCAAAATAAGAACATGTATCTGTACATACTGTATGTAGGTAAAGTGTTTTGTTGTAACTTGGGTACCTGGATGTGATTCTTCTGAAAACAAGTGCACAGCACCAGGTTCATTAAGAGTCAGTTTGCATAATTTTCCCGAAATTAATGTAATCATTATTATTAATATTTTTGTATGCATTACACACGACTGCGCGGGTTGTTTTAATACCAATAAACAATTTCAAAATTACGTTGAACGGAAATGTTATATAATGTATTTATTTTATGATGATTGAAAAAATATGTAATATTATATATATTACACAACTTTAAGAACACACGTTTGTTATCCTACTTACTTGTTACTTAAGTACAAACAATAGTATATAAGGCGTTGTTTTTAAAGGATTAAATTGGGAAGAGTGAATAGTGTTAACTTTTGTTATACTTAAGTAATTTAAATAAACTTAAATAAGAATGACTTTATCATCATTGTATAGTGATTAGACAAATTAATAATTTAAAAAATATTAAATAAAAAATATTAAAAATTAAAATAAAATAATTTGCAGTTTTTTTTAATAAAATAATAAGTACGCATTAAAATTAAATAAGGACGTACATGTCTCGTGATAGAAAATAGGGTTGCACGATTTTGCTTAGAATCGATTTTTGGAATCGTAATGGATCATACATTGCCGTTTTGAAACCGCAAGTTGATTGACGTAACAATAACATTCCGACCGAATTATATGGCGTGAAACTTAACAATCACTTCCAGGATCGCCTAGTAGCCAACGATTTCATCCAGTGCCGCGGCGGAACATGTGTCCGAGAAGATTATAGGTGGTGGAGATGTCTACGGCACCAGTGAATGATTCGATCCACAGATCGAATCATCTGCTTTTGAATCGGTCACATTCAAATCATCAAAATAAATTTGGATAAAAAAAATATTTTGATAGTCTCTATGGCTTGAATCGGTTGCGACTTTCATTTAGAGTGAGATGTTAACCAGTGGGAAAAGATATTCAAATCACATCGATGATCAAGTAGCAACAATCGCCAAATATAATAGATTTATTGTACGTACATGGATATTGTTAAATTACTTTTCTAGCCGACCAATATAAAATAGGATAAGCATTAAGATTCAGTTGTGGTTCAGAAAGAGACAGTTTTGTTTAAATTATGAATACGATTTAGACGATTCGATTCACCTTAATGTTGAATCGATTTGCTTAAAAATGTAATTGAAATTAATCGATGCAAAAGATCGCTAGATCGTATAAACTTGAATCGATCTCCATAAAAATTGAATCACAATGTGCAGCCCTAACAAACACGAAATTCTTATCATAGATTCAGATTCAGATTCATTTATTTCTCAAATATAACATTACAGTATAAATTGCACTACATGTCAAAGTATAAGAAATTATATTGAGATCGTCAGACAAAAAGGAAAATTATAAGAAAAGCACACAATAATTAGAAAATTAACAATTCATTATATAATATTGTTGTCATTAAATTACATATCAAATACCATTCTCCATGAAGAATCGTAATAAGTTGATAATTATACAAGAGCATGTCAATGCGGTAAAAATTAGAATAAAAGTATAAAAATAGAAAATACTGAATTCGTTACAATTTAAAGTCCATAAATTCTTTTACAGAGTATATAGGATTTTTCAAGAAAAAGTTTTTCAGCCGGCGCCTAAATGTTTCGTCAGGCGGTTCAAGTCTGAGAGTAGCGGGTAAGTAGGTCCGATGACACGCGGGTTTTTCTCTGCAAGTGCCATGCGTCGAGGGACTGTTCTCAAATGACCGGTACGGCGAAGTGGGATGCCAGAAACATTTACAGTACCAAATGAAGACAGATTATTTCTAACGTACATTATAATTTCATATAAGTAGAGTGAGTAGTGCGTCATTATGCGTTGCGCTACAAAGATATTTCTGCAGGAATGTCTGTGTTTTACCCCAACCAATACGCGTGTGGCACGTTTTTGAATTAGCACGACTCTATTGGCATCCGTGGAGTTACCCCATAAGAGTGAACCGTACGACATCAGCGAGTGGAAATATGCAAAATAGACCTGTCTTAATGCAGAATCAGAAATGAGCAATTTCAGTTTACGCAACGCAAAGACTGCACCACTCAGTCTATCACACAGTCTGTACATACACGTAACTTTTATAAGTTCAAACTTTTTTAATTTCCCGTGTATAAATACATGTATTTTTTTACACACTCATAGCTTCCCATATATAAATATATATTTTTTACACAATAGAAAGCAATGTATTTTAGTCGGTAATATATTTAGTGTAGTCGATAAATAAATTTAATTTGACAAATCCCTGTCGCGCTTTACTTTAAATCTGTCAAATAGTAACGACACCAGTGTTTTCTACAAGTGGGTTATTGCTAGTATAGGTACTCTAGTCGAATTCGAAGTAGAATAAGTCTCAACAAATAAAAACATCCATTTTTAGAGTTTTTCCTCAAGACTGTGTTACGGTTATTACAATTTCAATACTTTTCCCCGAAATTCGATTAGACTATTCATGATACTAATCTTGAAGTTACGTCTATGAATTAAAAACAGAATTATTGTTCAATTAAAGTTTCAAATAAGTAGAAGTTTCATAGAAGTGATTTCAATCCAACAAAAATTTACAAGTAATTAATTTTTATACAATCATGTGTGTAATGTTTGTTTTTTATTTGAAGGGAGAGATTGAAAACATTCGAGTTCGAGAAGTCATTCACTTTCAGAATCGGATGATGCTAGATGAGATACCTATGTAGTAAGTTAATATAAAATAGTATCTTACAATTTTGTTTCTTTCATGTATCACTCTCTAGCAATAAATAACAAAGAGCGAATTCAAATTACTTAACGGAAAAAATGTACCTTTTCTGTGAAGTACTATCAAAATATGAGAGCGCCTTAAATATACTCTGATTTTTATATTTTGCCTCAATTTAATATGAGTAGTTATCAATCTCTGTTCTCTGAATAGCTGGAATTATCAAATTTAAACTTAAACGATGGCTTGTATGTATGTATGTAAACACTTCACTTGTACAACACAAACAAATTACAAATTAACAAAGAAATAGAACGTTATTGTACAAAGGCGAGTTTATCCCATAAAGGGATTTCTTTCAGCTAACGTTTGAATAATTGAAACGAAAGTTGGTTCCTGAGTCGGCAACAAAATGTAATAAATCATTAAATTACATACTCAACAATTAAATAATAAATTTATTATATCAAATGTATACACGAATGCATAATATTAAATAAATGATGATACACTAATACATACAAAATGTATAGTAAAATGTATGTATAAAATAAGACTAGAACTAAATATGTGAAATGTGGAAATGGCTTCGGTAGAATGACTACAAAAGTACAATTTTTTTCTGTATGTACGTAGTTTTAATGTTTTTCAGTTTCAATTACAAGTTAATTTCACTGTTACGTAAAATTACAAATAACATAAACATTTATGTTCCTTCAATTTTATAGTTAATAATTTCGTCAATCCTGGTGTCGCGGGATGGCTATAATAGACTATAGCTAGTGGTCAGATAATCTAATGCAGAATTAAAGTGCTAGACTCCTCATGAATTGGGTTCCAAATTTTGGTGTTGGTTAACACGGCAGTATTAGAGTTTGAACTTTGGTTAGGTACGTTATACGCTTTTATAGTTTAAACAACTGTAATTTTATCCATTAGATTAGTTTTGGGCATATGCTTAGGTTTTCTTAGGAACCGAAAAAATAAAAAGTACAGTGTTATTGGAAGAGGTAATTTTTTCAAAATATATTAATCGAGAAAACAATAGTTAATTATCATTTTTATTTAATGTTTCTAATATATCATCGAATTTGTTATCTGTAATAAAAGTAGGTACCATATGTTTGGCAGGTGCGCAGCAGCATGGTCTATCGTCCCCTTGGTCACTACGACGACTACGACGGAAATATTTATGTTTTTCCGGTAAAGAGGTTGTCTTTTCTAATTTCTGCAGCATCATGACGTCGTGTTTGTACTTTTTCATATCTGCCTTCGTCATTATACCTTGCATATGTAGAATTTCAGCCGCCGCTTCGTTAATTTTGTAGTTTAATATGCATTCTATAGGTAAAAAATGAAAACAAAATGTATATACGTATATTTGGGATTAAATTGGAGTCAATTGTGTCAACATATTATAGTTGGGTTGAATTCATGTTAACTGATTCAGAAAAGAAATGGAGTCGAAAAATTCATCTAGTTACGAAGAAAATGAAAAAATGTACAGCCTTGGTTAAAACTATTGCAGAAAGAAATCTATTTAAGGATTATTTTTTCCACGTCTAATAAGGTTAAAAAATGATTACACTGTAACTAACAACAAAACATTGGGTAAAATTTGTCATTTTACGATTTTTGTACTTATTTCTCAGTTCGTTAATATGGCTGGTAGTGTATATATCTTCCAGTACCCTTTTGGTGTTTTGGTTATTAACATTTAATGGTATTATTGCAATATAAAAGAAACTAAATAATTTTCTGCATGATCAAGGGAAATCATAGATAGTTATTTCTGAGGCTGTGACACGTTGGTATCGATCTGTGATTCTCCACTGTTGAATCCCATAGTAATAGACACAGAACAGTGCTCAAACGCATCACCACAGGGAATCGTTAGAAAATGAGAAAAATCTTCTTCAGACCTTATTGCTGAGTAGTCAGTCGAAATTAAGAGACAAATTTTTGTCAAAGTACTGGAATGAAGCTTCAGGAAACTTTCCTGAATGGTTGTAAAGCCAAGAAGAAACTATGACGCTCAAAAAACTACAAGAAGGCGCGGTAGGAACGGGCCTTAAAATGTCAAAATTTTCCCGAACAAAATATGTTAAATATCGCTTGGTTACGAGTTTAACTTTGAGGTGAGTTAGTTCATTTGATGTTCTAATGTGTATTTCTCCAAAGCCGCAATTTTCGGTGTCCACGCACTAAACTCCACATATGTATTTATCAAAACAAAAATCTACAAAAAAAGAGAGTACAATACAACAAGTCGAAAGCTAACTGGAGAGCACAAAACCTTTCGGACCAAATGGAAAAAAATCCGATAGGACTAAATCCTGACAACTGTGGCGTGTCTCAAATGAAGAATCCCACACATAGTGTCACTTTTCTCAAAATTGAAACCATATATCAATATTAGACTTGAGTTCACGTGTAATATATTAGATGACAGTACTTCTAATCTGAATTTCACAATAAACTAGACAATAGTTTTATCACAACACCCAGGCTTACGAGGGAATTCGGTGGTAGTTACTAATCACGCTACACATCAGAAGTGAAGCATTTTAGAAGCTTCGGAATATGTTCGTATTATTCGTCCACCACGCCCCTGCGGCTGGAAACATTTCACGAGCCGATTTTAGGAGCTTTTGCGTGTAAATACGTAACTTGGTGGATTTGGTTCACGTTGATTTTTGCATTCGGTGTATACGATATTTCAAAAACTAAATTTTATGGTTGCATGTAATTTTTTTATACTATATGTTTTAACTACTAAAATATAATAACAATTTATTTGTTTTACAACTATTGTCGTTTACGAGTAATATCAAAAATACGTAAATTTTTTTGAATCCCGTGGTCTTGAATTCGGTGGATTTTATGCCACCGAATTCAGAAATGCTTCCATCAAAGCCGGAAAAATCTGCCATCGAAGCCATATTTTTTTTAAAAGCAAGAATTTTATTCGTTTTTTCATATAAACGTTTAGTTAATACTGTTGATTTTCACAATTTTATATTATTACTTGCTTTCCACTGAAAATGAATAAGGAATATCAAAACAGAAACAAAAAATTGGAAATCTAGAAGATGACGGAACGTGCTAGTAAAGCAGAGATAAAAAGCGATCCGATTATATATGAATTAAGAAAAATTAAGAAAAAGATAGACAGAGGTATGCGAAGAAAAAGCGGAAGGAAAGATTTTAAAGCTGTATGAATTACCTCGTCATGTATAAAAAGTTATGAAACATGTCAGTCGCGCAAGTTTCCAAAAATTTATTGCTTTTGTTAAAGATTAAGATCTAATTTTTTTTTTAAAGTGGTACGGAAATGCTTTTTGTGTGATTGAAAAAAGGCTGAACAGCCAAACTGTGAACTGATTTTAATTAATAGTCATAAGATGAAATTTGTTGGCGTTATTCTGGTCGATTTATAAATAAACTTTAGTTTTTAAAGCCTGGTTTAATATTTAGTCATATTAGTAAATGTTTAAATAGATTATTGAATGTTTTTATTGCCTTTTTCTTAATATTTTTTACAAAAATTACGTCTTTTGGCGAGAAATCTTGATTTCAGTGGTAGCTGAATTCGGTGGATCAAATATGTCATAAGTACTAAGAATCTATTGCCCAATTAACGGGATCTTATGTAAGTTTGAGTCCTTTTTCCTTCCCACTCAATGTTTTTACTGAAATTAAGAAAAAAATTCGACCACTGAAGTCAAAGAATTTAGCCCTTCAAGAGAAGTGCTCTAATGATATTAAACAGTGTGATTTGAAAATAAAATTAATTGACAAAATATTTTAGTTTTCCAAGGTCTGCATCTGAGTAAATTTTCAGGTTGGTTCTCTGTATTTAATTTCGGACGCAATTGTTGTTATTTAAATATTGTACTAAGAAAATGAAACATTATTTGATTTTAGAGTGTAGTAACCTGGAATATTATTTTATATTTCACGATAATTTACTCGCATCGTTACTTAAAAAATTGCCACCGAAATTAAATAGAGAAAACTAACCTGAAAGTAGCACATCCATCAGTACTTATAGTGTGGTGTCTATTTTTTCTTTTCTCATATTTTTTATACATCTGGTGTGACTTTTGTGCACCACCGGGAAAACGAAAAATTTAGTCCAGACTACGGTAAAGTACGTGAGAGTAGTGTTAACGGTCTGGGGCTGTATGACTGATTCAGGTATAGGCGATATGTTTGAATTTCTTAAAATACAGTAAAACACATTTCACTTTTCACCCGTTTTTAGATGACGCGTCTTGTCATAAATCTAACCGTATAGTGGCATTATTTCGACATACTAACATTGAGCTTTTAGTGGTCTACTCAGTCTCCAGACTTGAACATCATCTGTAGAACATAATATATATTACGAGATTAATTTTATTTAAAGCATAAAGTAAAGCGACACACAGTAAACATGTACGAAAAACTAAAACACCGTTTGCGCCAAGAATGGAGCGCTCTGAGGACTATAAAAAGTGTCAAATTACACAAAAGCATTTCTGCCGTAATTAGCATTCTGTTCTAAGTAATATTAACATGTAAGTATGATGTAAGTATAAAATGATTCAATTTCTTTCAAATTTATGTTACCCAAAAAAGAAAATGAAAATCATGGGTGCTCGATAATTTTGACCAATGCTGTCTTTGACCTACCAAAATGCTGTACTTTATTTTGCTGTACATACATTACTAAAGTATGTAGTCTACAATATACTAATAATGATAATATGAAATATTTGTATTTTAGCTTCCAAAATACACGTCCAAATCGTAAATTGTTGGTATGTACAGTATATCCCTTAGTTATAAGAACTCATCTTGTATTTGCGTACGAATTATTCAATTATAACTGACCTTTATATGGAGGACATTTGCATTCAAAGGTTAGCGCTTCCATAAAATTTGGTGAGGTTTTTCTTCGGAGGTAATATTCAAAAGAATCCGTCCAATAAGGCCATTTGCTCCATCGCATTTGCTTGTCACTCACCAACATTGAAGTCGCCATGCATACAAATAGATTGAAATAAAATAGTACCTGCAAAATTATTGAATCAGTATTGTGTAAATGTCGACTCTTTGTGAAGCTAAGTCGATAAATCCCAATAAAATTAAGACGTAGCGAATCCGGGTCATTTATTTCATTTTACATAATTGGTAATAAACTAAAAAATAATGCATCGCCAATGCTTTGATAAAATAAGGCACTTTGAATTTAAATGGCTGTAAGTCTTGGTTATTTCAAAAGGTAATAGTAATAATAATAATCCTTAAAAGTATGAATCGGAGTTGTTGCTCTCATTGCATAGTTGTTTCGCAGGAAATGGCGTAGCGTGTTTGGTTGTGGTCCTGTAGCTTCGTCCTCATACCACATTTCTTCTGGAGAATTCACCACTGGTTTGTTCTTGGTCGTGGTGGTATGTTGTCGAGAATATATGTACGAAGACGTTCTTGACTTTAGAGGCAGTGTATGCTTTAACCTTTTCCTTTTGATACAACCAGTCACCGTCGGGCATGTCATCGTAGTTTCTTCTTCCTCGCACGTAGGAGCTGTCGGACAAGCAGTAGTTGTTATTTCTTCCACGTGTACAACAGCTTGTTCGGTTATATCCTCAGTTGTAGTTTTCTCAGTTGTAGTTACCTCAATCGTAGTTGTCATTGCTTCAGTTGTAGGTTGGTCACTTGTAAGTTCTGCAGTTGTAGGTACCGTAGTAGTAGGTTCTGCAGTGGAAAGTATTACAGTTGCAGGTTCTTCAGTCGTAGGTTCTTGAGTTGTAGGTTCTTCAGTTATAGGTTCCACCGTTGTAAGTTCTTCAGTTGTAGGTTCTACAGTTGTAGGTTCTACGGTTGTATGTTCTATCGTTGTAGGTTCTTCCGTTGTAGGTTCTTCCGTAGTTGGTTCTTTTGTTGTAGGTTCTACAGTTGTAGGCTCTTCAGTCGCTGTAGGTGTAGTTTTTTCTTCAGTTGGTGGGAATGTCGGACACGTGATAGTCTCTTTTACTTCATTAGTTTTAGTAACTAAGTCGAGGTCCACATTTACGTTCATACATTGTGGTGCAGATATTGACGCCTCAGTAGTGGTGGTCGTAGTGCTGGCTTTAGTCGTCGAGTGCTTAAATGGTGCGTTAGGCTTACCGCCATGTATAACTGAGTGATCCCTTGCATACAATTTTTTATAAACATCTTTGCCTTTCTTTCCGACAAAGAGTGGAAATGCCATGGCAAAATCTGGATCATCACATCCAGGGCCTTTGCATAGTTTATAAGGTGCAGTGAATAATATTACTCCGGGTTTATCTGGTTTCTCTAAAATGTGAATATTAATATTTACACCTAAGTATTCTGTTTTAGGAATGCGTAGTTCATTTGAAAATCCAGAGTGAATATTTAGAATTTCAGGAAATGAAGCTATTTTTCCGGATTTAAATCGCGTATTCATTATCACATTTAATCGCGGTTGATTCAACCGTGACCATGGGACCTGTAAAAGGCCCGAAACGTTTGGTTTGTTTGAAAAAACAAATATACGTGATTTAAATCCGGAAAAATAGTTTCATTTCCAACAACAATCGTGAAAACCTAAGAACTCGATATTTAGATATTTGTTTTATAATAGAGTACTTACTGTCGCCATAGATAATTTTCTTTAGATATTCGTCTCCGTCTATGGCGCCTGCTAGATAATCTTCAGCTAATGTATTTTGCAAGAGCCCTAAAATTACAACGAGGAAACGACTATAAGGTGTTAGTATAAGTAAACGTTTGCAATCTCCCATTGTTTTGTTTTTTGTAAAAATTAATGGCCATTTATTTCAAGTCACCTGTAAGTTTTTTGATAAAATGGTTTACAATTCTCTGCACGTTGAATATGTCATATATGCCAACAATTTGTTATATTTTTAACAGTAGAATTTATGTTTTGTGGAGTTCATATAAAAATGTTTACAACGGTTTTCGCAACATATGCTGTTATGATCTCAATATATTTATATAAGTGAATTGAAAATCCACAATGGGATAGTAAAAATAAACAATGATATATACATAGTTTGGAGTAAAACAAACTCATAGGTATCAAAGTTTATTTTTAGTTTTCACATGTTTCGTGGATGGAACTTATTATTAATACGGTCACTACTATACAGTTGGGTATTTGTTTTTTAATTATTTTATATAATGATTAAAATTGTAATTTGATAATTAATAACTCAAAAAGGCTTAAATAAAGTTTTTTACAAATGTCGAGAACAAACTATATATACAACCACGGATTAAAATAGTTATTATTAATTCAGAATATTAAAGTTATTTTTTAAATGTACTCACTCTTGAGTGTTATCTAGCCATGTAGCAGCGATGGATCTACATTGAACGGAGCTCGCCCAGTATCATGCTTATTCAATAGCACGTTAAAGACATTCGGGTTGTATGTGCTAGGAAACACATACGCAGCCAGGGAACATTTTCATTCCTTAGAAGAAAAATTACATTCCTTAGCCTTATAAAGGCCTTAAAGAATTTTTAATTAAAAATTATTATAGTTTATACTATAATAACAAGTTTAAAGGTTTATACCTTAAGTAGCATTATAAAGGTGGCCAAATTGCCAGTCAGAAAGGAATATCACCCTAGTAAGGCTGCCCACAGACGCACTGCATGTCTGCAATTTATGCGTGCAGTCGTGATCAACTGCATGCAGTCGCGTTGGCTGCATTCGATACGAACGATGGTCCGAAAATTAAAAGCAGCAATTAACATTGTTAATGGTATGTGTTTATTTTAGTCTCCGAAATACTTTATTATTTTTCAGTAACGGTAATAACAAAGTAACAAAAATCTCGTTGAATTTGACATTTTTTATTTGGATATCAGACTACTAGAGAGAGAATAGGCTAAAAGCTTTTTACATTTACGTTTATATGGTCTATCAAAAACGTAAATGTACAAAAAAAATATTTTTTACATAATTATATTTTATACTAATACGTTACTTTAAGCTCAATCTACAAATAGACGGTTCGTATTCTGTATTTATTATTACAATGCGTAATTTTGTTTCATTATAGTTGGCATTGATTAATATGTATTTATGTCCATTGGTAGCTACATCAATTTATATCTGTCACGTACTTTAGTCTTACGTATACAAGAGTTGACAATTGTTTTCGTGGGAACGTATAAAAATAGGAGCCCAAGTGACCTACAGTGCGGGAATGTTAATAATACACCGACTCTGACATAAATAATTAGTTTTCTTTCTCACTTGTACAGTCACCCGTAGCGAAATTCAAATGTACGTTACAAATTATTCATTGAAACCGTTAAACACTCACAAATAACTTAATAAATTGTAAGAAATTTTTAGATATCGTTTGGTTGTAATTCGCTAAATATTTTAATAATATTATTAATGACTGTAGACAATAGTGATTTCAGGAACTATTTAAGATCATTAATTATATTCTTGAAGGTTAAACGTGACTTGTTTACGTTATATTCTTTTATGTAATCGTTTTCCTTTGAATTTTAAACGTTGCTGTCATATAATCTAAATAAACAAATTGTTATTTTCTTTGTCGTGTTATAGATGACCTAAGTATATTTTCGTGTGCATACACGGCCGGCGTTAGATATAAGTTGAAATATCGCACATTCAATGTAATAAGGCCACATCTGCAAAATGGAAGTTTTTAGGAGGCTTAAAGATACTATGAATGAAATTAGGCGATATCTTTTTTTTTATTTACGTAATACAAGAATTATGAAATATATATATACGAAATTACATAAAAAGAGATATATATATGATAAGATAGATGTATATATATATATATATATATATATATATATATAATTTGTTTCCTGCTATTCGTATTATTTTTAACCCTTATCAATTCTTCTGTATGTTTTTTATGTATGTTACGCGATAACTCCGGCATTTGTGAACCGATTTTGATGATTCTTTTTGTTGGAAAGAGGATACCGAGTGGAGCCGAGTGGTTCCATTTCAATTTGTAGAAAATATTCCACCCCTAAGCGCCCAGTTATACGACGCTACCGCCTAGTTACCACGCTTTCACGTACATTAATGGCGAATCTAAAATCTATTTACTAGGCAACAACCCGCACGCCCGGAACGCTCATTAAAGTTGAAACGTAAAAGCTAAATGAATAGAGTGTATTTTGCCTTGATAGTTAGATGCGTGCGGTTGCTGCGCGGCGGCCACGCGCGCGTAAGGGCGATGAAATTCGTGACGAATAAATGCGTCCTAAGGGTGGCAAACTATGGGATGAATGATATTTGAAGTCGGTTTTTTTAGTACTCTGTACTGAGATTATGGAATATTATGACTTTGGTATTATCGCTTTTGGCTTTATTACACTAAAGGTATTTACTTATATGTAGTCCTTGCCACTGAACAGCTATTTAGTTATTTTAATTATAAATTAGCCAGAAATAGTCACAATCACAAAAAAAAATTGACACACATGGACGACAGACGTCTAGGCAGGTAGGTTTCCTCACGATGGTTCTCTTCACCTAAAAGCCAATTATAAATACAAAAATTAAATACTTTCATTATACGAATGATATATCCGTTCTTTTGTTACCCTGTTTAATGCACAAATTTTTCTATTTGTCATAAACACGAGTCTTTTCATTTTTAGTTAAAGATACGCCTTATCATGTACTAAATCTGTAACCTGTATGCAAAGCCGCCCAATATGCGTGAATATGTGATTGAATTCAAATTTTAAATATACACATAAAAATGTCTAGGTATCAAACAAGTTTCTGCAAATTACTGAAAATCAGGTTTTTTTTAGTAATTTATCCGCACGAATGTTTTTGTTTTATCAATTTCATAATTTAAAAATATTATGTACAGATTTTTATTTAACTTTAATCAGGTAATTATGAATAACAAAAACCGGATACTTAGAAAAAACCTTCGATCCGGCCGGATTCGAACCGACATCTTCTAGCAAACCCTGTCAGACGCTATGCCAACTAAGCCACAGAGCGAACCAGCCGACCTTACGAATTTCTCTATGTGCAACAAGCACATCTTTGTTTTTTAATGAGTTTTTATGCAGTAGCGCCATCTGTGAGAAATTAATTCTTCACTCAGAGAGGTACCTGTACGCAACCATCGCTGACTGGAGATGTCGCTATAACCTGAGTTTTTCTGTGTTCAATCTTTGTAATCAATTTCACAAAAAGTAATTGTATGTCATTGTAGTAAAACGTACTGACATTTAATAAAATCTTGAAAGTTTAATAGATTAATCAAATATTAAAAAAATACCTTGATCTTTTGATGTGTGTATCTTTATTTAATAGGTAAACAACTCAGAAACCAGATTTTCTATAGAAGACAGACTAACAAACTCTTGGTGATGTTTGTAAATACATAGATATTTATTCATATTTAACCTGAACAAGCTATACGAAGCACCCATAGATTTATGCTATGTATGGGAAAAGGATATAAGTTTATATAAAACATATTTTTTGTAAGTTGTAACAAACAAATAAAAGTAAATTTCTGTCATCTTTATGTACACCTTATTAAGTTTCTTTGCCTTAGTTTTAAAGTTTGTTAATGACGAGTTAAAAATTTTAAAAGGAATGATATTATAAAAGTTTAAACAATGTAATTTGGCTTTGACTTTTTAGGCAACTGTCGAGAACTGACAGTTCATTTTTGATCTTCTTATTATATTACGTCTATATTACTATTTGTCATTAAAATAAAATGTTGTTATTAGGAAGCCGTATGAGACGGTCCGGGTTCGATTTCCGGTAGCACTAATTTTGGGAATGACCTTCTCTAAGGTCATTGTCAAGTACCGGGTGCACCATCTGGAATTGTGGGAAGGGAGTTGCATTGCACGGGGACTCATTGTACATGGAATTCTCTATTTTGAGATCTGGCAATAGGTGTGGCTATGCGGTACCTTATTATTATTATTATTATTTTAGATATCTACTTTAGACTCTCGCCTCTTCCATGACCTAAAAGATTAATTTTTAAATGGCAGAGGCGATATTCCCCGACAATGGCACACTCGGTCGGGATCAGGGACTCAGGTTGAAGAACAGGAGCAGGATCGTCTTCAGCAATTGTGCTGGAAGCATCACGCCACTGAAATCCAACCGACTCAAGCTGCTAGCGAGACTGATTGGAACAAATCCGTTTGCGGACAAAACCATTATTATTATTATTCTTTGGGCAAGTCTGTAAATTACCATAAAGAAGACCCAGGAAGAAGACCAAGAAGAAGATATTAATGTCGACGGCATATCACGAGGCAAAATACCGTATATCAAGCAGTTAAAATAAACCGGAGCAGCAGTTTCTACGTCTGATGTAATATTTTCAAAACTCTTTAGTTTCACAAAGTAATATTGCAATATTTTATCATTGGCGATACGTGTTAAAAAACTTGGATCACATTATCAATGAGACTACTGGTCCGATGTGGGTTGCAGACTTGAAATAACAGGGGACACATGGGAATGTTTAACTTATGTCTCACGGTGACGGGCGCAGTTGCAGTGCCCTTCAGATCTTTGTGAATCAAAGCTCTGAGTGGCACTGCAACTGTTATGGACAGGCGTGTAGCTTACCATCAGGCGCATGACTTATTCATCCCGTCACTTGATATTAGAAAAAAAATAAACATACCTTCAAAGAGATTTGAACCTTTTCCGACATTTGGTTTTCGTACTGTATTTTCCTTCAGCGTAATCTAAATATAATATTTGTTTTCTACTAAAGTGTTGCTAGCCGGGTAAACTAGGCCTCTGCAGCATGAATAGCAATAAGTGTTCTTCTAACTAAGCTATTTAGAATGCGTCTTAATTTAGTGGTGACAGGATTCTCTGTAATCGATTTGGGTACAGTCAAGAACACATCAAGCTTGACTCTTCGTACTTTGGACTGTTCTTATCGTAAGTGGTAAGTATAGAGTTGGATTTAATCTCAAGTGTCAAGCTTGACGTGCTCTTGACCCTGTACCAGCGCTCTACCTATTTATAAGTCTTAAGGTGGAAATGCCAAACGGTTCTAAAAGGTTTGGGAAAGATCGGATGTCCCATGACTGATAATTTGTTTGCGTTGTTGGGGATAATTACTTAATATCGCAATTGCCTTAAGGCGGCGGCAGCCACTTTTCATCAGTAGGTATTCGTATATTATTAAAATATATATTGAATTAATATCATCAACCTGGTACTGGTTCAATGATTCACCGCGAAAACAGCAAGTGATTGGACGGCCCAAGTACTCGAGAGCCGTTTTACTTTGCGCTTCCCACCTCTATACTGAGAATGTTTAGAGGTGGGAATGTATGTATACTGAGAACTGCTTTCAGTTCATTTAAGTAATGCTTTTACTGTTCTAGAAGTAGGTTTTTTATTATAGCAAACTGACGGGTGGGACTCCTTAGTACATGCATGTACGTTTTTATATGAATGGTAAATAAAACAACTACATAAATTAGTGTAATCAATATAATATTCGACTGCGCCTTTGTTTAGTATTGCTTTCGATTTCTAAAGTTTTATTTTATGGGTAGCTGATTTATTTAAGAACCGAAATAAAACAAACATATTATATTTATATAAAACTAGCATTTCTTTACTGAAACCAGGACTAGCATATCGTATATCTATTGAAAAGTCATTTACAAATTTTATAAACATACTATCGGGACTTTCATATTTTATACATTATATACATTCTTGGAATGTCCTTTAATCTAAGAATGTATTAGCACTACGTCGATTAAGCGAAAATAAAAAACCTTGGAGCTGATTTTCCAGATACCCTCTGAAAATCTTACAAACCGAAAACCACAAAACTTAAAACCATTTTTGTTTTTAAATGGACTTTTTTTTTCTATATTTCAGCTGTGTATATATACATTCTCATGGTGTCCCTAATATTAGGATAACAGAGAATGAGAATGTTGCGACATTTGCAATATGCATTGTTTCGCAAGCTGGCTCTTCTATTCTCGACCATCTTCTCTGTCGATGCCTAGGGTCTGTTGGTCATTGTAAATTTAATTAACTTCAATTTGGCCGATTGCCCGCCTTACCTGTTAGGTAGCTCACTCTCTTGGCCATCTTCCAAATGATTACATTCACTGAGCTGTCAAAGATAAGTTATTTTAGATATCTCGACATTGAAATCTAGAAGCACCGCGTGTGGCGATGAGTGTATGTGCCATACAAATGTGACACTCGTACATTATGAATTAAGTGTCATTTTACACGTTATGTCTGTTATTTGTTAGACAGTCAGCTCTATTATTAACAAAGCAAGTAATTGGAAGTTTGGAACTCAATTATAACCAAAGGACATTTTTAAATCAGTAAATCACCTCTATATCTGTTGATTGACAGATAACAAAATCATTTTGTATATAATTATATAACTTAATTTTTTAATAATTAGATAACTTAATTAACTAAAAAAACACAACTGCATGTGATTTTTTCAAAAAAATTAAATCTTCTAATTTCTGAATACTTTAAACTGAGAAACTTGATGAAGTATCCTAACAAATTATTCCATTATTAAATCATTGATCATTTTTGCGCTATTAATACACATCCCAATTTATAATCGTGACGTTGTTAATTAGCGTCATTTGTCAAATTTGGTTTAGTAACAGCGAATTTAGTCTAATAATAGCGAATTACGAAGTAATTTGGATCGATTACGGAAGATTATTCAAAATGGAAACTCGCGCTGATTGTTATTAGTTCCAATTAGGATGATTCATCATTTGAATGATAGTTTTTTTAAACATTGCTTTAACTTTTGAAAGAATGATACAATTAATAGGTAACACTAAAACTGGTTTACGTTGCAGATCGTGCGCTATGAAAAGAAACTAATTATGAAAATAAGTTGTGAGTTTGTTTCACGTAAATTGGCAAAAGAATTTTTAAAACATATTTTATAAAAATACAGTTTTATTCTAATGTGTGTCTGTGTAATAATTATCATTTTAGACATTTGTAAGTTGTTTCATAAACAGACACGATCTATAAATTTATCAAAAGTCATGCTTTTATCAAGAGTAACAATAAATAAGCATTAAATCGCTTCGCTGTGTCCAGAAATCGCTTGGCGTTGAGAATGGAATAATTACCTCTTTGTAAATTGTGCACTCTTCTAATTTGGTGATAAAAACAACAGATCCATACATTTAGTAATATTAGTAATAGAGAAACGCAAGCGAAGGGTTGCAATAAAACAAATGTAGTTTAAACTTAACAGTTTATTGTCTTAACTTACTCAATCAAGACATTAAAATAGGAATGCGGACGGCTTCCGATCAGCTCGTAAGTCTACAAGTAAACCGCGAAGCGGTTATCAAAGGAGACTGCATTACACCAACGAAATCCTGTAACATCGATAGAAAGGTCACGCGGGGACGACTGAAGCGGAGTCCGCGAAGCCATGTCAAGCGAAGGGTGTTAAAGCGAAGCTACACGTTGACGGTGTTAAAACCAAGCGTGGAATACTTCCTTGAGATTAGGGATTTGCTGTGGTAACGGTGGAAACGGGCGCCTGACGAGATGTGGCGAAGGAGAGACGTGTCCTTGCTGGAGGATCGCGCTAGCAGCGAGTTATTAGTTTTGGAGAGGTATGTGCGCAGTGCGCGCTCGCCCCATGTCTGCGCACGCGGTTGTTCCACTGGCAGCCCCTTGTTCCGTCTGTCTAGGTAGTTGATCACGTCATCATAGTAGTTGTGTTGGTAGTCGTACAGGTAATTATATTGGAGGAATTTGGGCCTGCAATTGTTAATTATCCAGTTCAAATTGGGCTCACCATTGCATACTGTTTCATGATAAGGGTGAATGTAAACTCTCTACATGGCTTACAAACAGTATGGTAAAGTTATTAGGGAAGACGTACCTGACCCAATGTTTGAATATCAGTTTCCTAGGTTCTTGTCCTTTTACAATGCCTTCGGGTGCTGGTGGTTCTGCTTCAACGGGAGCCTCTTCCGGAGCAGCTTCTGCCGGTGCTTCCTCTGGGGCAGGCTCCGGAGCGGGAGTGTCTTCTTCTATCACGTCATCCCACATCTCGCTCGGGGGTACTCTATAGATGAAAAATCACTTCGTTATTTACTCTGAACACTGCACGGTGGTTTGCTTTGTTGCACTTGAACTTGAGCGAAAGTACACAATTGTGGAACGCGTATCACAAGTTGCGGAACACAGACCTAACTGGGATCGGAGAAGCGTGTGGAGCGGATGATCGTTCGTGTACGACTGATCAGATCGTCCCCTGAGTGCGCACGCAACCTCCCGATATATCTCCCTTCGACCCCACCTGGCTGTCGCAAGCGCTACTATGTTTGTAAGAGCTGCCAATGATGTTCTGTCAATGCGTTGACCGTGCATCGTATCGGCGAATTCCTCATCGTTTTCGAGTGATGTGCCAAAAGTTGCATTTTTTACGTTACACGCCCGCGCCGACTAGGAAATTGCTCTGATGATTGATGCGCTTACAGTTTCGCACTGAGTAATTCTTGCGTGATACCAATTTAAAATTTTGTGACTTCTCTCTTAAATAAACTTAAAAGTTTCTAATAATTGAGATTTACACGAGAAATAATATGTTTTCCTTGTATGTAGATAAATATTGGGTAGATTATTTGATCAAATTTAAAATATTTATTAAAACAAAGTATGAGTATAACAATCATTTAATCATGCCATGGTGGTTTTTAACTGCTTAATATTCCATATTTTGGAAAAATGTTATTATAGTGTCCTTTACTGTCATCGAGCAAATATTACCTCGCGAGGCTTAGTTCAACGATTCAGCGATAAAGTAATTAGTCCAATGAGTACTATCTCGTGATCCAAAAAGGCTTATATGGTAAGGTAAGGTAAAGTCACATGTATGTTAAACCGGACGAATCTCTAACTCATTGTGACAAGAGGCATGTGTTGTATGTAGCATTACATTGTCAGCTTCCAAATTTGATTTTGGTTCATGCTTACCTAGAACCAGGAAATAACGGTACAAAGAATACGATACCAGACAACTGGTGTGATTATGTGGAATATAATATACTTACTCCTACTTGTAATCAATGAAGCTGTGGTAGTCTAAGTCTCACAACTCTCGGAAAAAGTGCAAAGTTCTCAATCCGCATTATGTCGGGGTGGCGGTCTACGACCAAAACAGTCTCCTGAGAGGAGATACGTGCCCAGCAGTGCAACGTACAAATGAGTTGATGATAAATCAGTAGAGATAAATGTCATGTGAAATCCAAATAAGGCCACGTTGTGTTGCATACTGCACTATTTTTATTCATAGTTTTTATTGATGATAAGGACGACTATATTAAGCTTGTTTACTTGTGACATTCGAATGTCTCCCGCTGATCATCAGGTGACATTTCTAGACAACTTGAATAAATAAGAATGATTTTTTTTAAAACTATAAATAAATGTGTTTTTTAAACCAACCTTAAAATTGATTAGGAGACCCATGGGCTGGCGGCCACCATGACCAAAGTAAATATGGAACGTTGGCAATATTTTGGGCATTTTAATAGAATATACGTAAAGTTTCAAATTCACGTATTTTCAAATCATTAGTATTATTTAAAAAATGTTTTGCAGCTACAGTTCATATCATCCTAATAGACCTACTAATTATACAGCTTGAGACCTAATCAATTAATTGAGAGGATTAATGAATTAAATGTATTGAATTCAATGAAATCAATGAGTAATTATCCAACGAGTATCTTCGGGTAATTATATTGCGTATTTTATATTGAGTATGACTCATTAACATTTTATCATATACTAGTTCTTATTTTTAGTTAACTGGCATTTATTAATAAACATATCCACCATTATACTGTCCTCCCTGTATTAACTAATGCATTTGCATTTTGGTAACTTTCAATGTATTGGCACCTAAAACTTTTTTTCACTGCAAAATGTCGATTAAAAAACCGCGTAAGTACCTATAGTTGGGTTGTGGATCTCCTTTAATAACTCAATTTCGCTTGAAATATCTATTACGTTAGTTATGGTAACGCTGTATATACATTGGTTAGAAAAAGGCAAAATAATAAGTTTAAAAGTTCCATCAGAATTACCACAATGGGATTCCGTATAAATAAAAAATGTGTTATTTTATTTTTGCTATGTTTGCGGTCGGCGGCAACGAAGCTTTGCGTGGCGGGTTGGCGAATTTCCACGTTCCACTCTGATGTTACGCATGTTCACGACGGCGTAACTCAACTAATAACATTTTTTGTTGTGTTGGCACTCAACTATTAAAGATATTATGAAACTGAAAACGTAGAACAACATACGTTTGAAACGAATGCCTTCACCTAATTTATCTCAATTACACAACTGTTTGTCATTTCATTGTTACTTTTAAAATATATATATTGAATGTGACCCCGTGGATTTTAAATAATTTGTTATGTAATATTTTACAATTATTAATCATTGAAAGTCAATGTTATTAATACAAAGATCAAACATTAAGAGCCTATCGACACGGTGTATTTTATATGCGCCGACGACGTGCGTTTAGAGCCTCAAACAGAAGAGTGTGGCGTTTGTGTCTATACAAAAGCGCGTAAAACGCTATCGTTTTACGCGATTTTGTACAGACAGTCGCCCGCGAGGATCCCGTTCGAAGCTTGTCTTTGTTGAACATCGCGTTGCAAGCAAGAAGCTTGTATATACTATATTGGAGTTTACCCTTACAATTTTGATGTTGAAGACAACTTTTCCTGCGATTTTTTATCCTTTTCACAGTTTGTGTTTAGTGTAACACACAGAAAAAATTCCTTCCATCCAGCCGGATTCGAACCGACGTCTCCTAGCTTAGCGTGGCAGACGCTATACCAATTAAGCACGTCTGGCACCACTGCTGTATGACCGCCATACAAGCGTTTTTTCGCAAGCGATGAAAATTTGCTCTAATCCGACTGAAAATCGGTATGTGGCGTTCTCTATGGTGTTTGAGTATAATTTGCGGTCAAAACTATTTTTGTTATCATTTTTCAATATGGCTGCCATACAAGCGTTTTTTGGCGGCAGATTAACATTTGCTAAACCGACTGAAAATGGCACGGCGTGTCTTCAATTTGGGGTAAATATTTCGTTTCCACCGATTTACGATATATATATATATATATATATATATATATATATATATATATATATA